ATAAGAGACAGGATTTCGACCGAACGACGATAGATGTATAAAAGAGTCAGAGTGATCGCGATGAGCGGTGCGAGCACGAAGATGCAAGCAGTTCCCAACAATTCCCACAATCTCCAACGCATAATTCCATTTAATATGACCAAGTTTGATTTTTCTGATTGCATCTTTTTTAAAAAAATGTTGATTAGCTCTTAATGCACCAATTTTAGTTTTCTTATTATTTCATTTATATCGAAATCCAGACTAAATCCTAAAGTATTTTATTTCTTAAACTGAATTTAATAAAATTTCACGCAGTAATTGAAATGATCGTCAATTAGATATCAAATAGGTAAATTATTTCTTAATTGCTAGATACGTATCTGAGAAAATATTTTTTGAAATATATCATTTGTTGCCGCAAATTTATATTTTCAAGCAATATGAGTATTCCCTGATAATTTGAGAACAATAATTTTAGATTGGAAACTTACCTTATTTGTTTTTTGGGAGACTTGGAACACATATATTGTACTACTATGCAAATACGTTATTTATATAAAAAAGCGACAAATCATTCGCCTATTTTTGCAATCAGATTGCAACTAAACTTCTTAATTGTCTTATTTTTTAACGACGCAATATTTGTCTCTGTCAGATATTATTGTATTTCTCTTTAACACGCATTCGTTTAATACAAACGATTCTTTTATATAGTTATATACCTTACTTTATTCAAGAATTTTATTTTGGTTTAGAAATAATAGTTTCCACATTATATTATTCGACACTATTATAGATGTACACGTTACATAACACGTAGTTTGACATACAAAAACTTTATTAATTTGACGCATAAATTAATATTTGGTATATTAAAACTATATGTAGCGCGCGCGTATCGTGAAAAACGAATAATGATTTTACAAATATCTCGCTTCCACAGTATTAATTCTACTGACGCAATAACATGAATTTTAACATTTATGCCTTTGTTTTCCCCACTACAAGCCGATATAGCGATGTTATCGTAGCATATTGCTGGATGCATAGAAGACGAAGTGATACTTGCCGTACGACGGATGTTGGCATTGTAGCCAATCAATTTTTTGTTATTTTACAAGAATAGAATAAAATCGCGGCGTTGCCGCGTTCTGCGTGTATCTAGCATAACTTTATGTAATCAAGTTAAACAGATAAACGCCTTTTTATGAGATAAACGATATTGCGCTTCTTGTAATACTGTCGCGGCACGTGCAGATTGAAATAAAGAAATCAACTAGACTTTCGGACTTTGGTCATTATGTCGGTATAATATTGTGGATGCGAGATAAAATCATTATTTCTTTTTGTGATACGCGCGCGCTACATAGTTTTAGTATATAGGGTCCGTAAAGTCAGTTATAACTCTTTTTATTTGGAATCGGCTTTATATACAAAGAAATGTTTTAAACAAAAATTGTTTGATTTCAAGGAAGATATAAAATGGTATCATTGGTTTGACCAAGAGTAGCGCTGTCAAGGTCAGAAAAAAGTCTATTCAAAATTTTTAACTTAAACCCTTCATTTTTTATTACATATTCTTGCAGCTTAACTCGAGAACTTTCCAAAACATAAAGATAAAATATTTTTTAATTAAGTAAATCTTGAATTATAAAAGCTTGAATTACAAAGCTTGAATGTCGCGGTATTATCAAAGGAATCGGAATACTGGCTAAAACTTTTTTGGATGCGTTGTTTAGGATCATGTCCTTGATAAAACATGAAGGTCATGACCATTGGAAATTGATTTCTTTTTTATAATTATTTTTAATATTTTTTTTAGAATTTATGATGTTCTCTGCGATGAATTTCTGTTGCAAAACATCAATTCACAATATATGTATAAACGTAAGAACATATGTTATTAATATTAATCAGATATTAAGCAAACACCCAAAAAAATAGCAACGCATTGCACGTAGTTTACATGTTAAAAAACACGTAGTTTGACACACGAAATATGCGAATGAAAACGTTGAGGGAGTTGCACACCCAGTGTCCCAGAATCGGGAAATACAGACAGTGCTCCAGCTGAGGGTTAAAAGAGATAAAATATTTCAGTCACTCATATTTCTTTTTTTGAAACACGCCGATATCTGAAATTACACAAAGGTTTCTTTTATGAATACAAATTTATTGAATATAGTGATGTGCGTATAAAAAAATATAGGAATTACATTAATGTAGCAATAACTAAAATTTAATTTGCATTAATACCTTTCTCCGCGAGTGTTTCTATCGGAAGATCTGATGTTTTCAATAGGCGCATAAGTATAACATGATTATAAGCAGTCTCTATTTCATGTACAGTATTTTTGAAAAGCTCTTTAAAAGATGTCTCATCTTTTACGATTGACTTATCAGCTATTAAAGAAAGTTGTAAATTGCCTCCGTAACTAAACAGGGTTAGGCCGAGAGCAATAGTGTTTCTGGAAACGAATTGTGATGCATCTATACATATATTGCTACATGGAAAGAACGATTTTGTTGAGAGGTTTAAAAATTTTGTTAAATACAGATCTGAAAATAATTTTTTGTTGAATCATCAAAATAATTTATTGGAATGTTAAAACTAATAAATATTGCTGTAAAATGTTTTGTTATTCTAGCAATCGTTTGGCCTTTCGCACAAAATTATTTTGATTATTAAATAAAAATTATTTTCAGATCTGGATTCAATAAAATTGTTCTTTCCGTGTACAATGCACAATAATTTTATTTATTCTAAAAAAAAGTATGATACAATACCTTGTTGGTATCCAGATGACAAAGTTGCTCAAAGAATTATTCAGAATACGAACTTTTTCTGGTCCGGACAAATTGCTAAACCCCATCGTGCCGTCACTTATTAAAAGACAAGCCTGCATAAACATTTTCGCCGGCAATAACGCGGCCAGATACTTCATGATCCAATAATTAAGCAAAATGTCTGAACGCTTTCTGAGCTCGTTATTTGCTCTTGCAATATCTTGAAGATGCTTAAAAAACTGAGAATCCCGATTTGGCTCGACGATTTTTTGCCCATTCGCATTGGGGATACAAATTCGCAAGAAAGCAATCGAAAAGTTGTTATCTAACGTTAAATTTTCGCCAGGTATTACCATTCTTACTGGGGAAAGAACTGTTAATGCATCAGGAGCTGTTTTCTTGATCTATGATAATATAATACCATAAGAAAAATTATAATAGAAAAACAAGTTTAGACGCAGATTGATGCAATATAAATGTGTAAAAAATCCCCATCTTCGCATTTTCTAAGTATTATTTAAACATATTTCTGAATGAAGTTCATTAGACTTATTTGTTGCTTGAAAGTTTTATACATACTTACGGTTAAATGATATTTGTGTACACTAGCGGAAAAAGCTGCCAATACGATATCTTCAAATTTGGAACCTGTATGTTTTCTTATCTCGCGAATTTTCATCAAAACATTCAATGATTTATCATTTGTCATGTTATCAAGCCAGTAAAACATTATCTTTTCACCCGTTAGTGGTGGACCATGCAGTGCGCTGTAAAAATATACACTTATTTATGATGCCTACTTGCATCATGACATTTATTATAACAAGACTTATTTATAACGATACTCCGTACACACTACTATAGCGGAAATTAAAGCATCACGTTTATTCATACAACTTCAATAGATAAATTCTAAAAAGAAACATTTTTGTCAAAGTTACACTCACCTAAGTGAGTGAACAAGTACAACATATTGTTTTC